TATATATATATATATATATATATATATATAAATTTAAGAAAAGTAGTTGCATGTGATTTACATAAGATTTAAGAAGTATTGATAAATTGTACTAAATGATGATAAAAAAGAAATTATGAGTAGAAAAAACAACATATATTAAAAAGTATCAACATGACTAACCCGTACGGTTTGGATCAGAGACGGATCCATAAAATTTTCGAAGCGATTGCACCAACTAACTATTGTAATATAAAATAAAAACTAATGAAAAAATACGATGTTATCATACACGCATACAATTTAAATATATTTGATTTTTTAATTGTGTTAAGATTAAAAATATAATCAATTTTAAAAATATTCAATATCAGGCTTGTTTTGAAGGTATCAACGAGAACTTCTTAACAATGTAATTTATAATGAAAATAAGTATTTTTCAATGTATTTCAGCTAATAATAATTAATCAATGAATATGATAAGGGTATAAAATAAAATTTGAAAAAAATAAAAGAAGTAAAATAAAACTATAAAAGTATTTGAAGGGTTAAACTGACTTCCAACCATCATCCTTTGGTATCGTGTTTATATCCTACTTTTTTAATTTAAACTCCCTAAAGATTTTACTGTTTATGGTTTTAATCTGAAAAAATCTTATAATTCCATCTCAAAAAACTTATTCATAATTATATACCTTAAAAAAATTTACTGTTAGATCCTACATTTTTATGGTTTCACAGATAATCATACCCTCAACGTAGAAATGGCAACGGGCCGAGTTCGGGCCAGTTTTTAGAGTCCTCGTCCCCAAAACCGATAAACATAACCATCCTCCGTAATCGTCACGATCCCCGTCGGGGATCTTATCGGGGATCCCCATCGGGTCCCCATGGTTCCCTGATCCCCGTTGGGAAACCCGTTAAGAGCAAAATAACCGTTACCCGCTGGTTTTACCCGAATCCGAACCACATGATCTAATTGATTAGATTACTAAGAAAAACAAAGGGAATCAAAGCACTTAAGTACAAACCAAGATAAACCCATGATCTAATTGATTAGATTACTGGAAATCAGTAGCTCATAGAGCATAAAAGCAGCATAAGCAACACCTTTTTTGAAGAAAAACAGATGAGGGTTGAAAAGCAGTTTATTAGGATACCCACCTACCAAAAGGGTACATAGTGATAGAAGAAGAAGTGGTGAGTGTTGATACCTGCTTTTGTCCTTTGAAGAAAGACTAGTTTCTGAGTTTGGGAGAGGAGAGAGCGAGAGACAGAGAGGTCGACTCGGCTAGTCGGCTATCTCGATAGCGACAGAGGGGAGAGAGAACGAGAGCTGCCTCGCTGGAGAGGTCGACTGGCCGTGGCCGACACCGGCATGGACAGACGGATCGGAATTCGGACAAAGAGGAGACTGGAGAGAACGAGAGGCGTGAGGGCGTGAGGTGAGGCATCGTCGCATCGAGGTCGACTAGTTGAGACAAGTAGACGAGTCCAGGCCTCTCAAGACTCAAAGTCAATTGGGCCTTTGGGCTTAGGAATTTAACAATTTTGGGCTTAGGAATTTAGTAGTTTTGGGTAGCCTTTATAAAATTGTAATTTGTAGAATATAAATATTATATATATATATATATATATATATATATATATTATCGGGCCGGTCCGGGTCGGTGAATACCGTCCCCGTCCCCGATATAATCCCCCAAAATACCCCCCGATTCCCGTTAAGAGGTCCTTGAAACCGACCCGAATTGTTCGGTTTTCGATTTTCACCATCAATTTCGGGTTTTTTTGCCATCCCTATCTCAAAAGGTATATCCGTCTATAAAATTGGGTTGCAATTTGATTTAGGTTAGGTTGAGTTAAATTTTTTTTGAAGAATAAACATTTGGTTTAATTGTTCAAATGTAATGTATTCGATTAGATGAACTCAACCTATAAAAGGGAACATATGAAATCAAAATGACGTAAGCAATCTTGTCTTTATTGGGTTGTGCCCTAATTTCAATGATCAAAAACCGCCGCCAAAAAATAGAAAAAAGATTGCCCACGTGGATTACTGGATTGTTTTGATCTACGATAGATCTTGGCTATCAACGCAAAGTGTGTCCCCCCAAGAAAACAAAATGGAAAATCAGTTTCCATAAAAAAGTCAATCGATCAAATTAGTTTCAACCATATTCAAATTAGCAGTTATTCTTCAGATAACAAGATAGAATCAAGCTTTTGATCCCAATCAAGTTCGCCATTGATCGATGCATAAACCTTGGCGTGTCAAACGTTGAACTCTAACCAAATCCCACCAATCTTTTTCCAAAGATATTTGACATTTTATCGTCCATTTCCAGAGATATTTCAACATTTTGTTGGCTGTTTACGTGATTTGGTTATTCGATTTTTGGTGGGTGTTGACGAATTAGTGGTGTAGCATGATGGGTAGGTTGGATATATCAATGTCGTGCGATGTAGAGACCATGAACTCCCTTCGGATCTGGAATTTTTTTGGGGTTTTGATCGGAGGCCTCTTTTAGCCTGGTTATGAAATTACGTCGTCTCGTCATCAATCGATCTAAGTTCTTGTTTCCTAAAGCGAATCTGCGTACCATGAAGTGAGTTTCTTCGATTTCCTATTCTAATTTTTCTATTTTTGCATTTCTCCGATTTCTACCCCCTTTTTGAAGATTATAGTTGACTCGTTCTAGTTTTTTGATTCAATTTTGTGGTTTAGAGCTCAAACTGATTCATACTTTTTCCCCAATCTGAAATTGGTATCTATTTTGTTCTAATTTTAGAACCAACTCATTTCACATTCAAAAGTCAACTCTGTAGTTCTGATGTCATTGAAATGGATGCGGACTGTAGTTATGATTCGATACTTTCTGTTTGTCTCTATGTGATTAGAGATGAAATCTCAAGAAAAGAGTCAGAGAAAAATGGGATTCACTTAGAACATATGATTCATATTAATGTGCATATAAAGTGTTTGTGTTTATGTTTGTGTGTGTTGATTAGGAGTTAAGGTTCTAAATTGGCAACTATTTTGCAAATTTAGATCGAAATTTGGGGTTTAATCAAGATTGTTACAGATCAAATTCGACTTGGAAGTCGATTTAGCCTCCAGAATATGATCTTTTGCAGTTCTCTACCTCTGCTTGACTGTCAAATCTGTTTCGAATAAGAACCATAAATTGTTTGAGAACCGAGAGAATCCGTATATTTTGATGCATATACGCTATCAAAATATGTACTAGTCAGTATAATCATACCGTAGTGGGAGGTTCAAATAAGGCTAAGTACGATGAGAAATGAAGGTTCATATGGGAATCATTGAAAAAATCCATTTGAATATGCATATGTAAATCCATATGAATAATCTATAACGTCAGTTCACTTATGTATCTTCAAATGGATTTTCTTCCAAATTTTTCAATGAATCAAATATGAACCTTCCCTTAACCTTCTCATGGTATTTAGCCTTCTTATTTGAACTGACCCCTCGTACCATATATGCGAGTATGTACGCATTGGTGCATATATTCACCGGAATTCATATGCTTTATATGCATCAATGGCGTATACTGTTCTCACGGTTCTCATTTGAACCTTCCTCTTCTTCTATGATGTCTTTCATCTTATGATGATCACAGGGGACGAAAGTTTTTCGGGATTTCTCTTTCTCTGATTATCATCAATTTGGCGTCTATAATGGAGCGTGCCGATGAAAATCTTCTTCCATCCGTATACAAAGAAGTCAGCGAAGCGTTCAATGCTGGACCATCTGACCTGGGTTATCTAACATTTATACGGAATTTTGTTCAAGGTCTGGCATCCCCGATGGCCGGAATCTTGGTTTTGACTTATGACCGACCCACTGTTCTTGCAATGGGCACACTCTGCTGGGCATTATCCACCGGTGCTGTTGGCGGCAGCCGCTATTTCAGTCAGGTTGCTTTTTGGCGGGCGGTAAACGGTTTTGGATTGGCGATTGTTATTCCGGCCCTCCAGTCTTTTATAGCGGATACCTACAGCGATAACGTTAGGGGGACAGGGTTTGGGTTCTTGCAGCTTGTCGGAATGGTGGGTGGCATTGGTGGCGGTGTGGTGGCTACGATTATGGCTGGGCATGAGTTTTGGGGAATACCTGGATGGCGGTGTGCTTTTGTTTTGATGGCGTTATTAAGTTGCGCAATCGGGTTTCTCGTATTCATGTTCGTCGTTGACCCTAAACGACTAATTACCACTGATCCGAATGGAGGAGAGACTTCTCTTGAAAGGTATTGAAATCTTTCTTGGATTTTATTCTTTGGGTCCGTTTGGTATATTGGATAGGACTCGACAAAACAAAACAAATAATTTCCGTTTCATGTTTAATGCGACAATGGAGTGTGACAGGACATGACTGAGTGGGAATCAAAATAGGTGGAATAATAATCAGCTAGATAAGACACGATTGGTAAATTACTAAACTACCCATATTAAAATAAAATCCTAAAACCTCTACAATTCTTTCGCCCGCCTTCCTTATCTTGGCAGTTTTGTCCAGTAGGTGTACCAAACGGAACGAGTGTTTTCGCCTTTGCAGATTCTTAAATTTCTTCTATTTTAGGAATGAACTTTTGGAACGGGGGAGAGATTCTAGTTCTGGTTCGATTTGGACCGAGTCATGGATAGCCACGAAAGCAGTGATGAAGGTCCAAACATTTCAGATCATCGTCTTGCAGGGTCTTGTTGGTTCGCTCCCATGGACCGCCATGGTGTTTTTCACGATGTGGTTCGAACTAATTGGTGAGCATGTACGCGCTTTTCTTCATTGTTTTATGTCTCTTAGTGCATGTGTCCTTGTCCTTTGGGATAGAAAAAAGGTCTGCATCCCACCTTAGACCCTGCTTACAAGTGAAATATACCGTGTTTAGTGGCCCTGAGAAGACTTGAACCGAAAGCGAGAGAAACCCCATCCCTCTCTTTCCGCTTTTCGCCCCATGTCACTTGTAGGGAGAGCCTCAAAGTTTAGCCTTTATTTGTCATTTGGACCGACCCTAAGGCCTAGCCTTTCAGGACCTCCAGGTTATAACGGTTAACGACGTATCTCTTCTATTTTCGTTCTTAGGTTTTGATCACCAAAAGGCTGCAACGCTTTTGAGCCTTTTCGGGGCCGGGTGTTCTTTTGGTTCTCTCTTGGGTGGAATCATTGGTGATCGAATGGCTCAGATTTACCCTCATTCCGGTCGAATCATGTGTGCGCAATTCAGCGCAATCATGGGGATCCCGTACTCTTTGTTTCTCCTACGAGTAATCCCGCAATCGGTCGACAGCTACCTCACGTACGCAATCACGCTTCTCCTTATGGGCCTTACGATTAGCTGGAACGGAAGTGCAGCCAACGCACCGATGTTCGCAGAAGTGGTCCCATCCAAACACCGGACTATGATCTACGCGTTTGACCGAGCCTTCGAAGGCTCCTTTTCGTCTTTTGCGGCACCCCTGGTTGGTATCCTAGCCGAGAAGATGTATGGGTACGACGCGAAATCCGTGGACCCGATCGCAGGGTCCTCTAGAGAAGCGTTGGCGTTATCGAAGGGGCTTTTCTCGATGATGGCAATTCCGTTTGCTCTATGCTGCTTGTTCTACACACCGTTGTATCGGGTTTTCAGGCGCGATCGCGATAACGTGCGAATAGCGACACAAAAAGAAGAAGAAATGATCTGATTAACCAGGGTTATATTTTTTCCTGAATCATATGTAACAATGATGTGAATCTATCATATAACTGTAACATGAATATATTCATAGATTGAATTTACCTTCTATTTCTGCTAAAATATATCAAAATGTTATTGTATTTTACATATTTATACTCCTATATAATATATATACTAGGTGTGTAATATATTGATCGGGTTGAAGACATTTTAACAACCTAACTCAATGCTTGCGGTTTGAAAAATCTTAACCCAACCCAAACATTAAAATATTCTTCTAACCTTGAACATATTATTTCTCTACTTATAATTTCTTTTTCATCATCAACCATTTGATACAACTTATCCATACTTCTTATGTATATCACATTCAATAAATTTTCTCAAATTTACGTATATATGTTTACAGTTACTGAACATATATATGAATGAGTTATATAGAGATGTGAATGGATTAAAAAAATGTATATATGAGTAGCGTACGTGATAGTGTAATTATCTAGTGTATATATTAATATAAATTCAACAATCATATTAAATACAAGAAATAAATTGATATCGGGTTCATCAGGTTGAGTTGGTTTCAAGTAATAGTAACCTAATATCAACCCAATACCTACGGTTTGAAAATTTTACAACTCGATTAGACATCGGGTTGTTTTGGGTTGAGTTATTTCGCATTGGGTTGGATTGATCGGATTGGTCGGGTTTTTGAGCACTCATAGTAATTATACTGATGTTGAACGGTATGTGTTTGGTAGATGGTTTGAAATTCTATTCCTCGTCTTTTCTAGGATTTGGTACATACAAACACCAAAACAGATGAACGATTTCCTGCAAATCCATATCCATACTCTGATACATAAATTGCAAGAATTCAAAATTAGTCTACACAAGACAAAACTCTCATGGTTGCAGCTTTCTCGTCTTCAAGGTCGGCCAACGCTGTTTGTAGTGATCGAAAACCGTCCCATAAGACTGTTTAGAATTGAGGTATTTGTTTAGCTTCAGCGACAGTGACACGGATATTTCTACCATCAACATTCTGCACAAGAAATTATAACACGAAAGATTCAAGAAAAACAAGATTCGAAAGGGAAAAATCAAAGGTGGAGGAGGTTATGAAATGTAGCTACTTACAAGGCCTTCCAATGACTCGATTGCACTATTGACCTCATTGGCAGAACTGTAAGTTACGAAACCCAAACCCTTTGATCGACCACTATCCCTATCATAAATCACTCTAGCTTCCAAAACATTTCCTTGATCCTGAAACAAGGTTTCAAGAGCCAGATTGTCGACACTCCATGCAAGGTTTCCAACATAAACCTTATTCGTGTTGTCAGATTAGACCAGTGGAAAATGTTTCATGGTCTCAGCTTTAGGAGGGTTTTCAGACTTCAACTAAATTTAAGTTCAAATTTTTGTAATGAGTTCTGAGTATATGGGTTTAGAAATCCAATACGTGTGCAATTATTTTTCCATTCGATTTTGCTAATACACCGTATTAACCTTCAACTTTATATATTAGTTGACTTGCAAAATAATCACACAAACTTATAATTCAAGGCTAAACTAATGTTTTATAATTGTGATTCACCTGCACTGCATCGCACAGATATACCACTAGTGTGTGTGTGTATATATATATATATATATCATTTAGGTTGTATTTGTTCATTTTTAATTAATTTCAACCTAAATTTATTAATTATAGTTAATGAGTTCTCTCCATCAAAATTGTTTGCAAGTTAAACGAATCCAATATATCATACACAATAATATGACCAGATATCCGGCCTTTATCCTAAATTTTTTTATAACCTACGGAGGTGGTTGGTTCATACTTCAGGATGTCTGATATACTCAAGATTTTGACAGAATTTTTTAGCAACGAACCAAGCAAGCATTGTGGGCACTGCAAAACCTCAAAAAGAGATGGTAATTTCACAACTGTTAATATACATGTCTTCACATACATACAAGATCTTACTTGTCAACTACAACTATTGCGTATGTTTGTTCAATCAACAGGTCTTTGGCATTTGTAAGTCTACAGATATCCTCTTCAACAAGTCTTTAACAAGATTGTCAATTTCGAGTTCTTGACTTCAAAAGCAAGATGTTTCGCACAGTATCGTGCGCGGGTTTATAACTAGTAAAATAAAATGTAGCAACTACATACCAGTCAAGTCGATCTTGATCTGAATCCTTGACCAAAAAACTATAAACAATAGTAACCAGTCCCGTAACGAGCCTGTTTTAATTCAATTTTGAACTTTTTTCATTATATTTTTAACTTTTTATAAAAAAAATTGTCGAATTAAGCCACTGATTATTGGAGGTAGGATTTACGCACGGTTTATATGAAATCCCCTTATTTGTAAAACAAAACCAAAAAAATAGAAGAACCTTAAGAGTAAACTACAAGTATTTTTATTTGGAAGCGGATTTCGCAAACGAGCAATGAATATAGTAGTAGTAACAGTAAGGTGGCGTTTGTTTTTTAAGAAGTGCTAAAGTCTTATTTCGCTTCTGATTTATAAGAGGTGGTGCTGACGTCTGAAATCTGAATTAATAAGACTGTTTGTTTTTGTAAACTGATAAATGTCTGAATTTGTTTAAATTGTCTATTTTACCCATTAAAAAATTATATTGTTGAATTTATAAGTAAAATTTATACAGTTTCACATATTTATTTGTCATCATTACGAAATTTACATCTAAATTATAATTAGCATTCGCTTAAACGAAAACACGTCATTAATGTATTTAACACATTTAAATCCTATTAAAATACATCAATTGAGAGACGTGAGGATTGATTTGGTAAGAATTGATTGAGAGAAATGATCGATTAAAATTAATTGATTGAGAAATGTCGTTGTTGAGGATTTGAAGAACAATAAGAGGCAAATAATAGGTTGGTTTACCTCTTACCAGATAAGAGGACAATAAGACATAAATGCCTCTGAAAAATTAGAGTAAACAAACAGTTTGAATGACGTTACCTCTTAACGAATCAAACATAGAGGCTAATAAGAGTTTTTTTATACATGTTTGACCGGTGGGACTTAAACTAGGTCTCGGACATACAAAAAAAAAGAAATAAAAGAATGACATCAGTTTACGAGAACACAAGAATACCTTAAACAAACGATCATCATATGTGATATTGTACGGGGACGAAATAGTATGCGGGAAACTTGGTCTTCGGTTGCGGCCAAAATTGTCTGTATCCATCATGTGTGTATACACGTGTATTTTGGGGGGGGGGGGGTACGAGTGTATATGTATAGGCGAATGATCGTGGGAGAAAGGAAGTTATGGTGAGAAGCGTAAATAGAGATCTGAATCATTGATCACTTTTAACCACATGCTCACCCATGAATTGCACTCTAGAATAGAATTGATCTAGTGCGTCTCGATGCACCTCATTAGTGTTAACAATCAATTATGGTTGCTTCAAGAGTGGAGATCTCTTCTTACACTTCTCACTATAACTTCCATTTTCACTATAACCCAACCATATATATAGGGGTTTAATCACTTGAGAACTCCATAAATTGTGATAACCATGAGAACTTTTATCTTAAGATATTGTTTCGTATGTTTTTTTTTATCATCTAAGGCTAGCATTTAGTGTATTAATGAACATATATTTGTTTCATAACGTTTTTGTTTCATATGTATGTAGTTCACAGTGTGAATCTTTTTTACGTGTACTTTTTATTTCACAGACATGTTAAAAAGATTTACATTGTAAAACAAATAAATGTGAAACAAATATATGTTAATCAATATTCTAAATATTAGCAATTGATGAAAAAAAAAATCATATGGAATATCACATGATGTAGTAGTTCTCAAGGTTATCATAATTGTATAGGTTTTCAAAAGAAGATTTTCACACACACACACACACACATATATATATATACACATATGTATATACATATAGG